GGTAGTACTCAAACATTATCTATTATTATTTCATCAAATTCTGTAGAGTAAGGAAAGTCAGCAAATATTTATTACATGTGCTTTATACTTAGCACTGTGCTTTGTACAGGGGTACAGAGAATTAGAAACCATGGAAAGACTTTTTTCTTTTTTAATGTGGTGCTCGGGATCAAATCCAGTGCTTTACCACAGAGCTATACCCATAGTCCTTTTTAAATTTTCCTCCCTTCCTTCTTTCTTTCTTTTACTCACTCTCTCTCTCTCACTGGGGATTTAACCCAGGCATGCTCTACCACTGTGCTACACACTCAGCCCATTTTTAACTTTGAGACAGGGTCTGTTGCCCAGGCTGGTCTTGAACTTGCCATCTTCCTGACTTAGCCTCTCAAGTATCTAGGGTTGTAGGGGTGCACCACTCTGTGTGGCCCATGGTTGTACCCTTTATAAGCTTAAAACATGTATAACCAGGAAGTTGCATAAAATTTAAATCTAAAAAAAGTGAGTAAAGTGTAAAATAAAAAATAGAATGTGCATGAAAATACAATAGTTATGTAAGATAGAGCATTTAGCAAAAAACTGATAGGATTTTCTGAAGGGAGCAGATGATGAAGTTTTCCTGGGAAGGCTTTGAAAAGAAGGACTAGCACTAACTACAGCTGGAGGAATAAAGAAACTGTAGGGCAATTTCAGTAACTAAGAAATAAATTGATTAAGGCCAGGACTAGGATGATGGCACCGGTAGTAAATATACAAGCATGGATATAAAATTTGTTCTGAAGACAGAAGCACCTATACTTGTGACTTAAAGAATGTGGGGATAGAGAATGTCAACTTCTACACACATACTGGGATAAGGTAGATGAAGCCTTAGTTATAAGATGAGGCTGAGTCCAAACTGACAACTGGTTGTTACAAGTGGCCCAATAAGCCAGAATGGAGTCTAGTCAGTGGGCAGTCGTGGTCCAGCCATGAAAGAGAGAATGTTTCAGTTTATAAAAGACCCAATAGCAGACAGAAAGAACCCAGTGCCTCTTGCAGCAACAATATTTTAAAAATGGCTAAAAAAAGAAATACTCTGCCACCAAGCTACATCCTCAGCACCTCACCCCCTCCCATCTATTTAAAAAATTTTTGAGACAAGGTCTTGCTCAGTTGTCCAGGCTGGCCTTGAATTTGTAATTCTCCTGCCTCAGATTCCCAAATCACCACAAAATAATTTCTTGAAGCCAGAAAAAAACTAGTGCAAATGATTAGGACACAGATATTATCATGACAATTCAGTTTGAGAGTGCGAGATAAATGCACAATTAAGTTGTACAGAAGTTGAGATTCAGGCAATAGTAGCTGGGAATGTGGAACCCACATCATCAAAAAGGGAGAGTTGAACAAATCAGAACAAATGATACCCTCACCACTCCTAGGAAATATAAAACTAAAGCTTAGAGGAGAGAAAGCCAAAGAGATACAGCACTCAAGATCGGGCAGTTTGAAAGAATGGCCTGAACAGAATTAGATGGTGTGATTGAGGAGACCACTTATAAAGCTAAATTTTAAGGCAGAAAAATAAAGCTTTCAGAGGACATATGCCTAAACAACTGAGAGGACAGTCTCAGACATGAAGAATTATACATGATTTTATGTGAAAAATTAAAGGATAATGTAGAAAGAGCAGGCCATGTGCTTTAATCCTACCATAAAAAGCATTAAAGCAGGATTCAGATCTACCCACAGAAAATCACCAATAGAGTTTTCCTACATGCAAATAGGCCACCAGGAACAAGACACCAGACCTTCACTCCCCCTCCACTACTTTGCTTTTTAAAATATGTGAACCCCAAACCTTAATGATTTCAATATTAATTTCAACCTATATCCAACAGTAAAAATCAGTCTCACTGGTCATTCATTTTTAACTCTGCTTCTCAAAATTTATGGACTCCTCTCCACCCGCCCCCCCCTTTTTTTTTTTTTACTTGAAGAGTTTCAGTTGGAAAGCTCAATAACAGCTGATAGTATGAACTAGTTTTTATTTTCAAAATAAGCACACTCCATATATTTTTTATTCAGCAATAGGTTTTTTTTTTTCTTTTTTCTTTTTGGTACTGGGAATTGAACCCAGGGGCGCTTTACCATTGAGTCACATCCCCAGCTCTTCTTGAGACAGGGTCTCATTAAATTGCTGAGAGTCCTGCTAAATTGCTGAGACTGGCTTCCAATTTGGGATTCTCTTGACTCATTCTCCTAAATAGCTGGGATTATAGGCATGCACCACCACACCCTACATTTTTCTTTCTTTTTAAAATATTCCAGTGCTGTCACAGCTTCTGGAAAGCACAATTTTAGTTTCTGAGTAGTCAGGTGTACCTTGTGATATTTGTTTAGTATTATAGTTTTTTTTTTTTTAGAAACAACTCTCATGTTCTCTTAAGACACAGCTTAGATTAGGTGCTGGATTTCTCATGACACCTATACAAATATACAAATTTTGCATATGTTTATTCACATATTTATGAAGATTGATGGAAGCCTCACAAGACTTGGCAATTATAATAGATCAAACTAAAAACAGTAGGTAAAAGGTACTGCTTTAAAATTTAAAAAGAAAATGAAAATAATGCAAAGAAAAATAAAAATTAGAACTGACATATTAAAATGATGACTCTAGTAACAAAAAAAGAGATGAAGTCAGAATTAATAAAAATATGATATTTAATGTGGCAGGACTAGGATTAAGGAGATGTATATTATATACTGAGTCACATAATGAGAAAAGTTGTGATAATAAAATCATATAATTATCTGAAAGTTACTTTGATCCATATAATAATCTGAAGAACAAACTGGGTTTCTTAGTGAATGCCTTTTTTTCCACCTGCTTTTTTCCCACTCTGTTCTATAATCCCTGCCCATCTGTCCCTCTGTTGACTCCATGCTGGGAGCTCAGTGGGACCAGACACAAGGCAGGCTGGGTTAGGCACTTCTGTGGACTCCCAGTACCCTTGTGCACACCTGCTGTCAGCACACAGATCACATACTATACCTACTGCTGGCTTCTCTGGCCTCACTAGACTCTCTTTACCCATCTTTTCATCACAATGTCTGGACAATGAAGTTTTTGAACATATAAATTAATGATTCATGTTTGGTATTATTGCTATGAATTGAAATATGGTGCTACAACTTCAAAATTCTTGTCACTCGGCATACAAAGCTAGGTACTTTTAGGGAGAATTTGCAGACTCAGAGGTAAAGGTCTCTCTCTCTTTTTTTTTTTTTTTTGTAGTGCTGAGGATTCAACCCAGGGCCTTAAGCATGTTAGGCAAGTGCTCTACCACTGAGCTATAACCCCAGCTCTCAGAACTGAGAGTCTTACACCTTTACAGCATGAGAAGTGAAATTATTTTTGTTTGACCGGCATATTCCTATTTTCCACAGAAAACTACTAATGCTTGGCTTAGAATATTAAAGAAACCATGATGAAAAGATCTGAGTTAAATATGTAAAAGCTAACTCATAGTGGGATTTAAACCATAAAGGAGTGGCCTCCTGACACTATGGAATGCTTTCCTTCTAGGAATGCAGTACCTCTGAGGCAACACAGGTGATGGAAGAGGACAAAAGTGCTAACTGGGATGGATCTGAAAACAGTGCAAACAATTAACCACCCCAGCACAGTAGTCAGTTTCTTATGCTTGGTCATCTGGAGCTTCTTCTGGCTTCCATAGCTCTGCCTTCTCCCCTGCTCCCTCACTCTGGCCATCATCCTACCAATCTTTTTTACTGGGGAGCAATGGACATAATGCACAGGAGAAAGGAAGCCTCAAGGCCATGGCCCGGCTGCTTCCCCAGAACCTGCCTGCCTGCCTGCTGGAAACCCATTAGGGACAGGGAACATTAGGCCTGGGAGGAAAACACCAGCCTCAGAAAAACAGTAGAGCCTTTTCATTTCCACCAACTTATTGAAATCTGTGTCTAAAAAAGTTTGGCAACAGAAGAGATGGCCTCACCTGGCCATTACAGCAAGGGAGAGGAGTAGGCCTGTGTGGAAAGCTGCGAGCCATGCCAACAGACTTGTAAACCAGCGTCCACACAATTCTAAAAGTCTAGGTTCTCGAAAAGGAATAATAAAGGGATGGGACATCGGGGCTGGTCTCCTCTGTGTAACGGTAGGAATGTTACCTCTCTTAGGCTGCAGGACTTCAAAAAAGTTATGGGCCATGCTCTGGAAAGATTTTGGCAACCTTAGTGAGTCTTTGTTTTAAATGCCTACACATTCTGGACACACTGACCTGGCATTTTATCTTTTCAAGGTACATAAACAGAGTATCCTGTTCCAGCAACCGTATAAATGGACATCAAGCGAAGGGGAGCTGGTGCCAGCTTCCTTGCCCAAGGTTCTGGAGAGAGTGACTGTTCTGCCCCAGTGTTCAGGTCTCCATTTCCTGGTAAGCTAGTCCTGATTCAGTTTGCCAGGAGACTGCAGTCAAATATCAGAGCCACTGAGCCCAATTCACAAGGGCCTCTGGTAATAGGAGAAAATCCCTCTCATGCTTCTGCCTATAAATTCAACAGCAGCATTGCTTTAACATGGAAGCCACTAAGTGCCCCAGCAGTGCATAGTCTCAAACTTGTCAGAAAACAGAACCAACTGTTTACTGTCCTTGTTTATTCTCAGCTTTAAAATGTAAGTAACACCATTCCCCCTCTCCTAAGTGCACGCCCTGTGGGGCCCCATGATACACTGTGATTACAATGTACTAAGAAATGAATGAGCTCCCTAATCCCTGGAGCCTGCTGTTATTTAACACTACCCTGTGTTTTTATCACATGCTAAACTCAGCTTCACAATCTTCATAAAGGTGTGCAAGACAGCATGGTTGTTACAGCGACTTCCATTTGCCCAGTGTCAAGTGTCCCTTGTCCTGGAGAAGAAAGTGTGACATGTCAATAAGAGTGTCCCTCAATGACCACATGAGGCTGGGGATGGGGGTCTGGGGTACCTAGCTGCTTTTCCCGTTCCTCGCGTCGCTCCCGGGCCAGCCGCTGCCGGTCATCAACCCGTAGCACAAGTGGAAGTTCTGAAAGTAAGACAAAAAAATATATATGAGAGAAAGAATGGTTTTTAAAAAATATATATATTAAAATATTCTTTGGTCTCATTAATGTGATGAATGAAATATCACTTTATGTTTTAGAACAATCAGTACATGTGTCCTTAGTTACAGTGATACCTTGAATATTATAACTCTTCTGAGAATTCCAAAGCATTTTTCTTCTATTTAAAAGCATTATGTAGGAGTGGGGGTATAGCTCAGTGGTAGGGCACCTGCTTAGCATGCACAAGGTCCTGGGTTTGATACTCAGCAACACCAAAATATAAAATAAAAACAATGTAAGGTCATAATTTATTTGTGGCTTTTTTGCTATTTCATCAAAAAATATAAATGATGTTTTGTGTTTCTATGAAACTTCTATTATTTTTATGCTTTCAATATCAAAAAATTTGTTTCTTAATAACAAACAGGATCCAAACTGAGTTGATACTGAGCAGGTGTTTACTAGTTAGAAGTGACTAGAATCAGCCTGACAGGAACTCAGTTTCTATTCTGTCACTTGGTATATAAATACAGTCACACTACTTACCCTCCTCAAGCTATGACATAGTTTTTATTTATTACCTGTAAAAATGAGGACAAAAACAGAACCAATCTCACATCATCATAAAGATAGTGAGCATCGGTATAATGCTTAGCATGTAACGCCCAGGAAATCAACTTATTCATTCAGCTCACATGAAATATTTACTAAGTTCCAGACACTGTTCTGTATACTGAGAAATATAGCAGCCAACATAAAGATGAAAACCTCAGTCCTCATGGGCTTTACCATCCTACTCAGGAAAAATCTAATAAACAAGATAAATAAAAAATAATAACTAGAATGAAAAAGACATAGAATGTTAGACTGAGTTAAATGCTAAGGCGACAACAAAGCAATAAAGAGCATTATGAAGAGGATGCTTAAATTTTTAGATGAGGTCTAAGGAAGGTCTTGATGTGATGATAATTTTTTTGTGTATATACTTGGTGGAAATGAGGGAGTCAGCTGTGCAGATATTCCACAAAAACCCTGCAAAAGCCCTGAGGTCACAAGTGCCTCATGTGATCAAGAAACAGGGAGATCTGAATAACTCAAGCAGAGTGAGGTCAACAGGCTCTGGGCCTGGAGACACAGGGCCAAGTCACTGGACTCACTGGGCACAGTGAGGATTTTGGATTATACAGAGATGCCCTGTGTGTCTGCGCATGTGTGTCCCCATTTGTCCAGCAGAGGGCTACCTTTACAGGCTCATATAGAAACAAATAATAACAATAATCACACTAAAAATCAGGTTGTTCTATCTACTAAATTGATATCATACTTTTAGGGTCTCATGTTCAAAACAGGAAGCTGCCTCACACATTACAGACCACATAGGAGTGCTTCATTAACAAATTTAAAAGCCTTGCACCCCAAAGCCTCTGACTTCATAGAATTTATAAATTTAAAGGAAAGAAAAACTGTATAAAAGCCCAACAGGAGCCTGCATAAACCAGGCAGTGGAACTCATGAGAAGGCAGGTGATGACCATGTTACACTTTGCTTTTGGTTTTAGGTATGCCTGTTTTGGTCTGTTTCTATTGAGATGGGGTCTTACTATGTTGCCCAGGCTAGTCTGGAACTCCTGGGCTCAAGTGAAACTCTGGAGTAACTGGGCCTTCAGGTGTGCACCACCAGGCTCAGTTTTAGGTTAACCTTTCTGTAGGAAAATAGGGCCCTGCCTCCAAAGGGTTTAACTGTGAAACAGGAAAGTGGTCATGTGGTCCCTTCTCAGGCAGTTTGTTAAGGGTCAGTCAAGGGCTTTTTGGGGTATTTTTTGGTGGTGTTGGGAATTGAACACAGGTCCTTGCCCATGCCAGGCAAGTGTTCTAATGCTGACCTATATCCCCAGCCATTTATAAAACATTTTGAGACAGGGTCTCACTATGTTACGCAGGCTGGCCTTGAATTTGTGACCTTTCTATCTCAGCCTTCTAGGTTCAGGCATGCACCACCATACTAGGTTATTGGGTTTGGGAGAAAGCAAAATGATATTTTGAAGAAAGAAAGAACTTGAAGATAAAGTTAGAAAGACAAATTTTAACTTGTCACCTAAAATATTCACTAACTAATATGAGGTTTACTTCTAAAACTCAACAGAAAAGTTGAAAATCAACTTTGTTTATAAAAATCATAAGCACATTGAAGTTTGTAATAGTTTACTTTTTAAATTACACTGACAAATTCTGTCAATAGACAACAAATCAATAATAATGTGCCATTTCTAACTTTCTTTTAAGTACATGCTAAATATTATACAAAATTTTGTAAAGAATTAATAATAACATATGGTTCATAATCCCAGTAACTCAGGAGGTTGAGGCTGGAGGAACACAAGTTCAAGGCCAACTTCAGCAACTTAATGAGGCCCTAAGTAACTCAGCAAGACTCTGTCTCAAAAAATACAAAGGAGCCTGCACAGTGGCACACTCCTGTAATCCCAATAGCTTGGGAAGCTGAGATAGGAGTTCAAGGCCAGCCTCAGCAACTACAAGGTGCTAAGCAACTCAGAGAGACCCTGTCTCTAAATAAAATACAAAATAGGGCTGAGGATGTGGCTCAGTGGTTGAGTGCCCCTGAGTTCAATCCTAGTTCAATACCAACTCCCCCCCACACACACAAAAAAATACAAAGGCCTGGAGATGTAGCTGTGGCATCCCGTGCCTTGGCTCAATCCTCAGTATCAAAAAATAAGAAATAATTAAGAAAAACATGCAAGCCCTCACCTACCCACACCAATACTGAGAGCCATAACAAGACCTGGGTCTCCTGCAGTAATGAGGCAGCTCCTGATTATGCAATGTAATGCTTCCCATTTAAGTGCCTTTGAAATGTATAATCAATGATTAAGTAAGCACCTCTGGTTTTAATCCCTGGTCCAAAAGTACAACCAGCTTGTAACCCCAGAAATTAGGAGGCTGAAGTAGGATTGCAAGTTCAACTGGCTAAACCCTGTCCCCAAATAAAAAAGGCTGGGAATATCATTAACACCTGTGACAGATACAAATGGGAGGTGGAGGCGGGCAGAGGCTGGTCTCTTGTTCACTGCTGCATTCCCAATGCCTAGGCCTGTGCCTGGCAAAAAGAAGAGACTCAATAAGCATTTATTGAGTGAATGACCGAATGACCACAGCCAGCCTTCACGGAGGATATTAAGCTTCCATTAACCTGGATCGATGAGGCAATGCAACTACAAAAAGACTTTTGAAACTCTAAACATTAGAGATTAAAATTTCAGTTTTAATAACTAAAAACTGACAAAAGTTGTCCTTAAAGATAGGTTTTCAAAAAGGAAAAATTACAATTGAAGAATTTCAAGTAAATAGTAAACTTTCTATAATACATTGCCTTTTTTCTTGTTTCCATTCCCACTTAATTTTCCCTGAAGATGAAATCAAGGTACACAAAATAATTTACCATTATGTATATTCCACATGGAATCTCAATCGTTAGCATAAAATTAAGTTACTGATTCTCAGAAGAAAGAAGGGCTTAAAAGAAACAGGATTTTGGGCTGGGAACATAGCTCAGTTGGTAGAATGCTTGCCTCTTATGCACAAGGCCCTGGGTTCAATCCCCAGCACCATAAAAATAAGTATATAAGTGAATAAATAAAATAAAGGTTTGCTGTCCATCTACAACTACAAAAAGAATTTTAAAAAAAGAAAAAGAAACAGGATTTTGGTATAAGTAAAGTTGCAGTTGCAGTCTCCTCCTGTCTTTGATGATATGCAGAAACCCTGACTGTTCTGTACAAACCTAAAGTAAGGTCACTCTACTGAAGACTTACTCCCAAGGTCAGAGAAACCAGTTCATGCTGGCAGTCCTTTTCAGGATTCACTAGACCCTGACTCAGAACTGATAACTACTGTTTATATGATAAATAACTTGTTAGTGTTGCACATTTTACAAAGCACCTTCACATATATGTTATCATTTTATTAGTCCCAACAATCCTGTGACTTAGGTCTCACATCTATTTATTTAGTGAGGCCCTAAGTAACTCAGTAAGACCCTGTCTCAAAAAATACAAAGGAGCCCACACAGTGGCACACTCCTATAATCCCAGTAGCTCGGGAAGCTGAGACAGGAGTTCAACTGGCCAGCCTCAGCAACTACAAGGTGCTAAGCAACTCAGAGAGATCCTGTCTCTAAATAAAATACAAAATAGGACTGAGGCTATGACTCAAATGAGAGAGAGAAAAAAGAGATGACTAGTGATATGGCTTAAACCAGACCCTAACTCAGTCCTACGCCTTCTACACTGCACCACAGCTACAGTCCTGAGAAGGGCGTGATGGGGTAGTCACAGCAGGACTGGGAGATCCCAAGCACACCTTCCCCTGTGAAGGAAGTTATTTACAAATAAGGGAGAATGAAGTTTAAGTGGCTCTTTTAGAGACCTAAGGTAGAGGGATAGGGATTAAAAGAAACTTTTAATGAATCTGAATTTCATCTTTTCTCAGGTGTATAAAAAATGTAATTTTCTCTTCTAATTAGAGAAAATTGATAATTTGGAGGCAGCTGATGGAGTATGAAGAACCATCCCTACTTCAGGACTAGCAGAAATGGACACATTTATACTCCTCAGACTGTCTCTTCCAGTCTGGGTTCAAGAACTCAGGACTAAGTGAAGCTGGGAGCAATAGTTCTTCCTGGATAACGTGAGACAGCCTGTGCTCATACTTATAAAATGCCATGCAGGACTTCCATGACGTGGTTCAAATGGAAAACATTCACAGTTTAAATGTGGATAGATGCTTTCTACATCAGAGATGCTCTAGAAGAGAGATCAACAGTAGAGGAATGGGTTCCAAGTATCAGAGTTAAAGGAGGGAAAGAAATTTAGCTGAAATATACTTGGTTAAGAAAGAAATCATTTAGTTAGGATGTTTAAATCTAGTAGTTAGTGCAATATTCAAAATCTCCCAAAATATTATACTTTTTTTTTCATTTAAAAAATGCCCTAGAGAATGAAAACCAAAAACCTTGATTTATTCATCTATCTTCCTATGTAATTGCAGTGCAAACTCAAGGCTTTTTGCTTACTAGCTAAACACTCTACTACTGAGCTACATATCCAGTCCTTTTCATTTTTATTTTGAGGTAGGGTTACAATAAGTTGCCCAGGCTTGCCTTGAACTTGTGATCTTCCTGTCTCAGCTCCCAAGTAACTGGGATTACAGGTGTGTGCCATTGTGCTTGACAACAAACTGTGATACTCTGACCTTTGTCCTTGCTAGTCTCTGTGCACACCTCTCATCACACTGGCAGTTCACATACTGGTTTACTCCCCCAGACTGTCAACTAGAGGGTAAGGATTGTGCCTTTTAACAAAATAACCCTGGTAAACTCATGATGTCAACACTAGATGAATAAATGAGTTAGCAGGATATATAGGTACTGACTACACAGTAAAGAATGCCACAAGTTAGAAGCAGTGGTGGATGGGGAGAACCTGAGAGCTACAATTTAGCTGTGTTCAATTCTCATTGTTAAATAATGAGGTTTTTGTGCTAAAGAACGTCTTCTAGTAGGATTCTCACCTGGGTATAAGGAATAAAATCTGCTAGAATAAGTTCTACAGGGCCATGTTGTTTGTGCATACAGTACCTCTCAGACTCCCAGGCACAGAAGAATCTGCTCAGTAAAAACGAAATAGCAGCCAGGGTTAAGTGAGTAGATGGATTAATAAGTGAATGAATGAGAGCCAAGCTGACTAAAGGGGGAAATCTCAGCCTGTGAATCAGAACTCTGCTGACAATGCACATCCTTTCCTGCTAATAACTGCTCAAGCAACCCTTGCAACAACAATTGTTACTGTCTTTCTTATAAATGACAGGCCAGCTGTCATTTATAATAGTAAATTCTAATTTACTATTCTTGGGTGATTTACTGATTTAGGTCTGGTTGTACACACGTGTAATTCTACCTATTCAGGAGTCTAAAGCCAGCCTGGGCAACTGAGAAAGGTCTTGTCTCAAAACAAAGAAAAGAAAAAAGGCTGGGGACTAGTTCAGTGGTAGAGTGCCCCTAGTTCCAATGCTGCCCTCCCCAAAAGCAAGCAAACAAACAAAAAGACAAGCCTGGTTTATCTATTCTGTTCAAGATGATTTCCTCATTGGAGGGGGAAAAAAAATCCCAAAGTACAAAGGAGAATGTTTTCTGTGAGACTAGACCTTATTATAAATATCTTTATTCTAATTTACTATTCTTGGGTGATTTATTGTTCTTTGGCCTTGAATAAAGTAGGATTCCAAAAACATCAAGTGATCTTCAGTTTGCTGTACCATTCTGTAATATCTGAGTGCCATAATGCATGTTCATCCCTACTAAGAATCTGCCATAAGCTGCTCTGTCTATTCAACTGTATTTGTTTACAGACTGCTTCTTTGTATCACCGAGTGGAACAGATCATGAATCACAGGCTATTAAAAATGAAATTACCATGTAGGTGTGCAAGCTTTGTAGGGAACAAAAACATAATTCTATGTGAGCTTTACTACATGAAGATTTCTTTAAGTGGTTCTTTTTTTTTTTTAAGTCACAAAAGAGATATGCAATAATGCTGGGGGAAAAATTGTGTTGTATACACCATTTCAAACAGAACAGTAAAATTATTACCTCTTAACACTACTTGGCAGTAAACAAATGCATCCACATACATCATTTCAATGACTTGTCAAAATGATTCTGTGAGGAAAGCAGGCCGTGAAGCTGAATCTCCATTTTAAAGAGAGAAAACCTTTATATCCTGCTAACTCGTTTATTCATCTAGTGTTGGCTTCATGAGTTTACTAGGGTTATTTTGTTAAAAGGCACAATGCCCACCCTCTAGCTGACAACGGGGGAGTAAACTAGCAAATAATCTGTGAGAGGCCTTCAGATTTCAACTCACAAATCTCCATGAGTGTGTTTGGGTGGCAGGACTGGAAACCAGCTCTCTTAAACTCTAGTTTGGTTTATAATTCCTCAGCATGCCTCTAAGGCTTTTGAAATAACCTACATTTTCCCAAAGTAAATGCAATGCGACGTACCTGGTTTATTTCCTGAGTGAATGCTATTTTGTCCTGAAGCTGTAGAGGAGGGGCGGGTGGGAGCATTCTTCTTATCTTGCGCTTTACTGCCATCAGGAGCTATAAAAGGAGACAAGAGAGACAAGATATATTTAGTTTCTTGAAATTTATTCAGAAATATTTACCCAGTCAACACTTTTGTATCAGGTAAGAGAATAGACTCAGGAAATGAAAAAAATGAAGCACTTACAACTCCCACCCTCACGTAGGGAAGGATATGTCCAAAAGTCAATGATCTCAGCTCATGTGTCACTTAGGGGTCCACAAAGAGCTCTTATTCTGGCTGTCCAATTCACACATCAAGCAGCCATGAGGAAGCACCACTGGACACTAAGGTCTTTGATCTCAGGTCTTATAAAGTCCATACATTAGGAGTTTTAAAATTCCAACCAGTAGAGATAATTCAATAGGATTTTGGAAAAGTTTCCAATCAAGTACAACAAGGACTATTATTATTTATGTATTTATTTGTGGTGCTGGGGATTGAACCCAGGGCGCCTTGGGCATGCTGCTAGGCAAGCCCTCTACTACTGAGCTTCACCCCCAGCTCAACAAGATTATTAAAAAGGGGAAGTTTAAAGTTGTCCCCACGTGTATCATTTGATTTAATATACTTTCAAAGAATGCTTGCTTCTGCCTGAAAAATCATGTCAACACCAAGCCCTTGATTTTTCCTGCCTCCACAAACTGCTCCAAGTGCAGCATCCCCCTCAACTAAGGCTTCTTCATTCTTCCACCTGATCAGGCTCAAAGCCTTGGGGTCATCTCTGGTTTATCTTTTTACTTCCTACATTCAATCCACTAGTAGATTCTTTAAACTCTACCTTAGAAAGCATCTGACCACCCACCTTTTGCATCATCTCTTCTCAAATGTCTGCAGTAATCTTTTTGGGTGCCGGGGAAGTCAGGGAGCTGGTACTAGGGATTGAACCCAGGGTTATTTTACCAGTGAGCTGCATCCCTAGCCCTTTTTATTTTTTTTTGAGGGAAGATCTCTCTAAATTGCTAGGACTGGCCTTGAATTTGCAATCCTCCTGCCTCAGCCTACTGAGTTGCTAAGGCATGCACCACCTGGCACAGATGCAATATCCTCTTATCAGGTGTATCTGATCCTGCCCTGAACCCCTTCAGTTAAAGATCCCATTTAAAATATGCCATGCTGTTCCTTTGCTCCAAATTCTCCAATATCTCCCAGAATAAAATCCAAGGTCTCTACTTGGCATGAAAGGTACATGTATGGCTTGACCTTTACCTTTAATCACTTTTCCTATTACTCTGCTAGACTTGAATTTGCAGTCTATCTCAAGACTTAGCACATACCCCAAAGGCTCTTCTTCCAGGTAACAACACAAATCTCTCCTTCACTTTCTTTGCATCTCTGCTCAATTGGGATAATAGAGTTCTATTTAAAAACGGCACCCCATCACCCATCTCTCCTTACCTGTAGCCCTTTCCCACTGACATATTACATATTTCTGACTTCCTCACTCAGCTAACAGCAGCACTGGATATATTACCTGGAAAACTGGGATCCAAATTTTTGAAGTTGAAAGTGTATCATAATAATTATGTTTCAGAAAGACTAATGATAAAAATGGATCCCAAGATGTACTTTAAAAATCTACAGGTGAACTATAGAGACCCATTCTTTGCCCTCTAAACAAGGTAAATACTGAATTTTTATGGCTGTATTTCTATTACATATAGTATTTATGGCATGGAAAACCACAGACTAAATCGTATCTTACAAAACTGTTCTAACTGCCAGTTTCAAACAACTTCTTTGTTTCAAATAACAGCTTTCACCACAATGTTGATTACTGGCTTAAGTTTCATATGCTTGAGCTCTTTTACCTTATTTGCAGGGATGAGTATGTAAAGATTCAGTAGAGAACAAGCAGACAGCAAATCAAAACTTCAACCACAAAAGGCCTCAGCCAGTGGTTTCTAATATGACTTTGCCACGCGTAAGGAAATTTTGCCTGGCAATTTACCCCAGGGAAAGGATCACTCACACTGGTGCTGAGGGAAGGGGACAAACAAGACAAGTATGAGTGGACACTGACCCAGGAAGGGAAGCAGAAGGCCGGACTGCTCTGAAATTCCTTAATGTACGCCCTCAGCCCACTCGCCAAAATCATGTGGTGAGCAGTCACCACGGAGAGGTCTGGAAGCAATGATCGGTTTGTCTTGACCTTCAGTCTCAACTTCAGAAGCACCCCCAAAAGACCAAAACAGTATGGTGGAAACCTTGTTGCTCACTGGGATACAGCAAGTTCTCCTCTTATTTTATTTATTTGTTTTTAGTACTAGGGATTAAACTCAGGGGCACTTAACCCACTGAGTGAAATCCCCAGCCTTTTTAAAATATTTTATTTAGAGATAGGCTCTCACTAAGTTGTTTAGGACTTGCTAAATTGCTGAAGCTGGCTTTGAACTCTCAAACCTCCTGCCTCAGCCTCCAGAGAGCCACTAGGATTACAGGCATGTGCCACTATGTCCAGTCTTCCCTTATTTTAAAAGCTAATCTTTCAAACATTCATAAAGAAGTAAAAACTTAAACAGAAGGTAGAGTGCCACAGGGATTTGGAAGGAGTAGATTCTAATTTTGTTTTATCACCACTACCAGTGCACAGAAAGTAAAGCCTTAATTACCCAAGCTGTTCAGAAATATTCTATGTATTATTCTTAGGAAACTTAAAGATAATAGGCACCATTGGTTTAGAATACAGTTAAAATGTTTTCATGTCTGTCATGCCTGGATGAGTTAGACATTATTTCATCTTTATCTGGTGAATGGACTCTCTAGTTCCCCAAGTCCTGACAACAAACATCAACACTAACTGAATATCATGCAACAATTGGACCATGAAGGACATGAGCAAGACCCCAAAACATGTTCCGTATCAATTCACTTTTCTGAATAAGCCATGATAAAAAGCTTTCCTTTGACTGTAATTTGCTTTATTATGCTGCAATTCATGTCAAAAAGTAATTTAATTAAACTGGAGGCTTGGTTACTTGAATCTGTCTATCTCTGACTTTCGTTGCATGAACTCTAGTTGTGCATAGAGGTCTACCTGCACTCTTCATTACCATCTGGAAGTCGGGAATTCATTTCTATCCAGGAGACCCTTGGAGTCACACTCATCACAAAACAAATTTAAAATCCATCTGAAAAAATGTCTATGTTCATGTAAAACTGACATGTTAAATGTAGTAAAATACAAAAAAGTTTTAAAGATTCTCAACTTGTTTAGCTCAAGATTACATAGTACTAGTTTCTAATCATTCAGTTGGACACTGTGTCATGGTAAGAGCCCAAGACACAGGGAAACCTGGGTTCAGATCTTGCACCCTGGTTCTTACTTGATGAGTGACCAGAAAGTCTCTTCCCCCAACTTCCATGCTCTTCCAGAGTCCTGGGCATTCCACACTCAATCGGTGCCTGTTGGCTGTTAATAAGGCTCTGTCCCTTGTGAACTGTGAATCCTCAGTACGTCACTAAATAAAGTAAGTCTTAATTTCCCTATCTGTAAAAGGGGAAACCAGTTTTTGAGTTCTGGAAATGAAATGCGATAATGTACAGAAGGGCAGCGCACAGTCTGGCCTACAGCAAGGTTCAGTAAAGCATAGAGAGTATCTTTGGCTCTTGCCTATTCCCTACACACGTAGGAAACTGGGTTTCTATTTCATCAGAGCTTTGTGGGAAAGCAAATCTAGGGTAACTTGGGGAGCAAGTGACCAACGTAGGATGAAGGTCTGGGTGAGGCACTGGTTTCAGCTCAGCTACCACAAGAAGAGGAATGACTGTATCCCCTGGGGCCTCAGGTATGATTTTTTTAGGGCTTGCCCTGGCTCAGGAAGTGGTAATAAGCACTCTTTCTGCAGTTTGGAGAGATGATTGTTTTCTACGATGCAATGTCCTTTACTGAAAGTAAAACAAAAATGAGCCTTAAAGAAAAAAAAAAACCCTCAAATGTGATGACAGAAAAATAAAATCTTCACAGAGTAATTTTTAAAGACAAAATACAAAAAACTTCACTACTGAAGAACACAATGAATACAGGAATTTATTCGTTTTCAGATTCCCAAAATTAAAAAATTTGGAAATCTTAGGTAATTAGCAGATAGGACTAGCAGATAGCTATATCTATCATGTTTAGATTTAAAAACACTACTTCATGTAATTTGGGTGACTTTCCAATATTATTTAAATCTCTTCTTTCATTTAAAATAAAAAAGAAAACTAATTGAGCCGCATACTATTGTGTTCAGTAAGTCTTTGCTAGCCTTATGAAATCTTTATTGATCTTCCTCCTCGCTTGAAAGCTTTATTCCATTAGTGACACATCTGAGGTTGTGGGAATAAAGACAAGAGGAAGGATCTAGACGGGCGCCCTTGTGGTCTGGGACTCTGTCTCTCTGATGCACTCTATTAAAAAAAAAAAAAAAAAAAGAGAGAGGCAGCAGGCACTAGGAGCGTCGTCTAGTAAGACTGCTACATAGCTCCAGTAAATGCCTCTCCTTCCACATCCTGTACAATTTATTACATTCCTTACAATATCTTCCCAAAGATCCTGGAGTTCTCACTGCTTTATTCCTACTTTTGAACATGTGATCCTATTGAAGAGTCTTCTCTGAACTGCTTCCAGTCACTGAGCCAACAAATGATCTATGCCTTTAGTAAAATGCCTGCTCTGAGACGTGACTACAGCATAGGACCATCCTGAGCTTATGCTTTACTGACAAGTGAACTTGACACCCATAAGGATAATGTATTTCAGTTACTATTTTTAATAAAACATGAAATGTAGACTGGGAAGCAACAAAAGTTTAGAACTGAATTCCCATCTCTGTCTGAGCATTTCTCTGTTGCTCCTTGATTTGGATTTTGTGGACTTAATAGCTTTGTGAAGGCAGCTTTGGGAAGGGAACCTAGAACACAGGATCAGAGGTTGAACTGCATGAAATCACTTTTTGTAGTTAAAAAAAGGTTAAATATTAGCAATTTTGTTTAGTTAATTTAATAATTTGTTTGTACAGAAAAGGTTAACACA